GGGGATGGGTGAGTGGAGGGGGCTTTATTTTTTATTTTTTTGAGGGGGGTGGTGGTTGGGGGAAAGGGGTTGGGTGGGGCATGTTTTCAATGGGAAGTTAGAGAGAGATGCCAGAAAGGAAGAAAAACAAAGAGGAAGTTTTGATTATGAGTTAATTCCATAAATATCTGCAAAGTTTTGAAATAAGAATCTAGAAATATGAAAAACATGGTTCCTCTAACCCTAAAATGAAGAAACTAAGGGAAAGAACATCATTATGGAGAAACTAAGGCACAGGACCATCACTTTGTCCTGTAGACTAAACTTTTTGCAAATCGTATTGAAACTTCTTATATTTTATTTTAGACAAGTACAATTTGATTGCTATCTTTGTATCAATATTGAAATGGAGAGAAAAACCTAGGTATTATCTCTAATGGCCCATTAGGGAACCATCTAATTCTTTTAATTTGGCTGTTTTTCTCTAAGTTCCTAGCAAACCTTGCCTCTTGAAAAATTCTTGAAAGCAAAAAGAAAAAGTTTATACAAGGTCGAGGCCCTAAACTATCAAATTAAGGCTCCCCTCAAAACATCAGTACAAGAAGTTATTCCGATGCTGAAAAATCCTCAAATCCGATCATCTTGGCCTTGAGATACATGGACATAAAAAAAAGGACTTCAAGTTTTGAAAATAGTGCATTTTGTAATGTATTATCTAGATCGTTAATTTTCAAGTGCGCATAGATCTACTTGATATGCAATGTGTTTGAAGCTAGAAATTGCATAATTAAAAATAAATTTTCAATCCATCATAAAGATTTTCCGTGTTGAAACAACATCTTTCGATACTATTTGAAGTCGCCTTACTTTTAGCATCTAAAAAGCCTGAAGTGGCTCTTGCATGAATGCATGAATGCACTTTCGGCATAAAAAATCTTCATGATGGATCTAAAATTAATTTTCAAATCCGTCAATAAATTGTAAAACTAAAAAAGGATAAAGATCTTGCGGATACGAAAACTCTTATTTTTAGGGCGAAATAGATGGTCTAGATGATTTGTTGCAATATAACACATTTTTAAAATTTGAAATCCTAATTTTTTTACATGACCACAGTGTTCAAGCTGACATGATCAATTTAAAAATTTTTAAACACTTAAATAAAATTTTGGATAAATTATGTGGTGATGCTTTACTTATTTTGGCAGTGCTGCAGCCCATCAAACCATATACCTATCAAATTATTTCGAAGTATTTAGTTTTGAGGGGCAAACCTACTCAACTTGGGGCATTCCCGATAAATCTGCTAGTTGTCAAGGGCAAAGTTATTTATTTATTTTAGTATAAATTACTCGCCTTAAAATTCGGTGTGCTCAAAATTATCAAAGCTTTTCAACTGTGTCTGCAACTTCCAACTTCCTTCATTTCGTAACCTTGTCGCCCTAATTTCTCCAAATATGCTCTAGTTTCCCCTAAGTCTTCTCTCTCTCTCCAATTATTCGCTATTTTTGCCTTAGTTCTTCTCTCTCATGGAACATAGCCCTGTTTTGTGCCCTAACCGATACTTCACATGAGACTTTCAATTTGGCCTCATTTTGATCCATCGCTCTTTTTGTGCATGTAAATTTTTGCCCTAATTTCATTCTCTCAGTTCTACAACTTATTTGCAGTAGTTATTGAATTTGTTCTGCAGTTTTTTTTTGCAGTATTTATTGAATTTGTGCATTTCTGAATTGTGTTTGCTATAGTTTGGACTAGTCCTTCGTTTTCTGCGTCTTTTGTGCTCTAATCCTTCCAAGTCTTCAACTTCGCTCTAATCCTTCCAAGTCTTGAACTTCCATTGAAGGGTCTAATCTTTCCAAGTCTTGAACTTCCGTTGAAGTGTTCAATCTAAGCCTGATCACTACTTTGATGCATTGAGAGATACAATGGGAAACTGCTTTTCTAGCAAAAATAAGAAGCCTCCTCGAAGGCTTGGGAGTAGCCATGGCCAGGCCATTGGTTCGAGCTCAAGATATGGAGGAAAAGGCAGATCTATGAGGAAGGAGAAGGTCGAAGAAGCTCTGATTCATGAGCAAGCTCTTGCTGCTCTTCTTCTGCAGCAAAATGGTGTTGCACCATTTGATCGATCTTCTTCGCTTAGGTATCCTGGGCCTGGACCTAAGCAAACTCTTCCTCGAAGCTCTAGTTCCAGGGCGAGGTCCATGACTGATCCACTTCTTAAACCGCAACAACTAGTTAATCAGGTGAAATCTAGAGTTTTCCATTTGAAATTTGTTCGTCATTTTTGTGTTCTTTTAACACGATGGCTCTGCATTAGCTTGGTTTTGAATGTTTTTATTGTTGTTTTCTTGATTCTTGTATTTTTGGATGTATTTAGAATTTATTGGACTTTGGGTTCTAAGGTATGGAGTTTTTTTATTGAACTTAACTTATCATTTTGATGTTCTTCTTTTCCAAAGATGCTTCTGCAAAGGTTGGTTTGAAATGTGTGATTTGTTATTTATTAGTTTCTTTTGGATTTGGAGGATATAATTAGAATGTACTGGATTTCGGATTGTCTGTGCTGTATATTTTAGGTGTTAGAATTCAGCTGCTAGGAAAAATAAACAATTAATAGTGACTGTTTTTTATTTTATCACTTGAAGTGAGATTCATTTCAGTTATTTTCTGGATGTTTTGCGACTCCTTTTTAACGTATATATTATTCTTTGTTATCTCTAGTTTAGGTTTCTAACTTTGTCATTTGTTAAGAACGGTTTGCTTTGGCTGTACTTTTTTCTCTTCACTTCGCTGTTTGCTTTCCGTGCTCAATTTTGTACAGTCTTCTTTATTCATCTAAATTTACACTATTCATCTGAATTTATATCAAGTTTAGTATGTATGTTTTGTTTAAGGTTTCTGCATTCAAATTATTTGAAGGTGTTAGAATCAGTGGATGGAAGTAACACACAATATGGAGTTCCACTGGTCAAGAGCATTCTTTGCCAGATATTTTCATTGTTACTTTTAAGATACAATTGGACCCCTGGATATTTTTGTTCCAATAACCTAGATGCATTTAATTTTTCATATTTCTGATTATTCATGAGATTCGAAAATACACATCAAATGACTGACTTGCTAAAGGATATTTATTTAGGAACTTAGTTAATTTTTTTTTCTTTGTTTGAGAAATATTTGGGAACTTAGTTATTTTCACTTACATGATAAAGAAAATATATAAGGAATTATAGCCTTTCCAGGATTCCTTAGGTTAATTCAATTCTACCATCATCAGCTTCCTTTTGCCCTACCTTAGTGGTATTGTTTCTTGATATTTTCTATATCCTATATTTCTTTTTCTAGTTGTGTGCATTATTTTTCCATATGCCTGTAGCATGACATGTCGTGCCTTCGTGCAAGAGCCAGTTCAGGCTTTTTAGATGTGCTTGTAGTGGGAGGATAAAGCCTGGTAAAGTATAGTATGATGCATATGGTCGTCATGATGGCATGGTCATAAGGGTCCTCATCGTTATCAATAGGTTTGACCGTGATGGAGGAGGTTAGCCCCACCTAACATGTCAATAATTATGTTGCACCTCCAAATCTCCCTATTTCGCTGTCCATCCCATTTATTGGATGTTGATGATCATGAGGACCACGCATTATGGCCACCATATGTATCATTGTGTGCTTCTCCTATAAGATTGAAAGCCTCTTGAGCGTATAATCATGTCTTCAGCTAGTATTATATGCTTTTATACTATCTTCACTTTGTGAAAACTTATCTTTTGATGCCGTGTTCCTGTTCTCCTTTTTCTGTATCTTTTTTAATCAAGTTCTATGAGTTCTATCTGATTCACCTCCTATAATAGGACTTGAAGATAGATGATCTAGAGACGAATCACTTTCTTCTTGTTCATGGCGGTGGGTTTGGTGCTTGGTGTTGGTACAAAACCATAACCCTCCTAGAAGAAGGTGGATTCAAGGCCACTGCCATTGACCTAACCGGTTCTGGAATAGACTCCTCAGATGCAAACAGCATTTCAAGTCTCTCACAATATGTTAAGCCTCTTCTTGATTTTCTTGAAAGGCTTGGAGATGGTGAGAAGGTTTGTTTTATCCTTCAATACTTATTTACTAAGGGGCTAAACTTTCTCAGAGCGGTGGCTTATTGGTTACCATCTTGCTTTCTTACTCATTTAGAAAAATGAAATTTGACTTGAACAATCCTTCCTGTTCCATCCTAATGTAGGTCATTTTGGTTGGGCATGATTTTGGAGGTGCTTGTATATCATATGCTATGGAGGCTTTTCCACAAAAAGTTGCAAAGGCTGTTTTTGTTGCTGCAGCAATGTTGACAAGTGGACAGAGTGCACTTGATTTGTTCTCTCAACAGGTATGCCTTACAATCTGTTTATCTCTGGCCATGATGAAATACGTTTGGTGTGCATGATATATACGTGGCTGTTGATCTTGTGATCTTGGAAGCTATCCCTATCGCATTCCAATAGTTCCTGTGAAGCTATAGTACGTGCTGTTATTTGCTTTTTGATTATCTGTATGTCGTTAAACAAGGAAGGGATAAAACCAGGCATCTATCATGTGTTTCCTATCAACCTTGTCATCTGTCATGTGTTTCCTCTCAATAAAACAACTGTTACTCTTTCTCCAAATTTAAAAAAAACAAAACAAAAGTGACCTTCTGACATCATGCTGAAGATGATTGAAAGAAATTTGTTATTTAAAAGTCATTGGTTGGTTGAGAATGTTTCTTATCTATCCATTATCTCCCTTTCTCTGGATACTTTCATTAGGGCCTGGTTGCTTTTGCTTGGGGCCTTGATTTCTTAATGAGCTTGTGGTATTTAGAGACATAGAACGGGAGAGTGGAGTTGTTATATAGATATTGGAAATATCTGTGACCATGTGTATTGGGCATTGTTCGACTTGTTGTTGCCTATGATGCAAGCAAACTTCGATATGCTTAATAATATACCTGTCTTGCATCATGTCAACACTGAGCTGGTACCAGATGCTCCTAGGATAATTATCAATATAAAATGGCATAACAATATAAAAATAAATTTTAATTTTATGAATTATGGTATGGTATATAAACGTATCAATGTGTTGTGTGCTTATATTGATGTAGTGCAGTTTGGATTGACCAATGTCACCAACTAAAACCCCATTATCTTTAGATTTACTCATGAATAGTTTTACATTGCTTAGTACTATCCAGCTATTTTTTTGAATATGTTAGTACTATCCAGCTATTCATGAACAAGTACTGCTTCTCAACCCTGTTTGATTGAAAAAATGGGAATTTCTATACCCCACCTACTTAAAAAACATAACCTATTTTTTCTTCATCCATGAATATCTCCACAACTCCATTTCATGAATATGGTTACTGAGAATGCAAACTGGCTTCTATTATTCAAGCTTATAAAATGTGTTTGTCTGTGTCAAATAGGAAACTTATATCTCTATTTGTATTCTGTATATTGACAAATGCCGAGTTGTATCCCCATGCTCTTTATATCCATGTATGCTGGATATGTATTCAGCATGTCGGAGGGAATGGGGTTTAGTAGTAAATGGAGGCTATGGATGGGGGCTCGCATAACCTCACCTATCTTTTGCATTCTGGTGAACGGCAGCCTGAGGAACTTCTTTGGTAGCTCAAGGGGTTGGGGCATGGCAGTGTATCCCTTTTCTTTGTAGTTGTATTCAAGGCATTAACTGAATGTTGCATATGCAGTGACTGTTGCATATGCAGTGAGTGATGGTGATTGAGATGATTTTGTTGGGTTGCAACACGCAGAAGGTCTCTGACTTTGAATTTGCAAGATACTCCAAACTCTTTTGTGATGTAGCTGGAACTTCTCCTAATACGGTACAAATTGGTGTTCAATGGCGTAATACATGGATCTCAGGAAGACTTTGTTTATCGTGGTGAAGATAGAGGTACTCAGAGATACTACTTGGACTGTTGAGCTTTCTGTTGGGTTGCTGTTGTGAATTGGTAAGTTTGGAACTTTGCTGTGGGATCCAGCAGTTGAGTGGATCAAATGGATGTTGGCCCCGAGGAAGGGCTAGGTTCTCTCCACTGGGGGTTTCAATGGCGAATATCATTCCTAACTATTTTGTCTTTATTCAGCCTTCTGATGGTCCAATGTCCTTCATTTCGTAGTTTACATACCCACTGCAGTGTCAGATGTTGCTAAATTGGCATGTAAATGGTGAAGTATTGTCTCACTAGGATTCCTGACATCACACTCTTAAGAGTCTTCTTGGATTTCTTCTCTCTGCGCACAAGCTTTAGTTACCTTCAAAGAATCTTCGATCAAAGAAGTGTCATAAACTCTTGTTCTCTCATTATGTCTGTTAATAACTGAATCTTTTTCTCTTTCCACCCTTGGTCTTCTTTCTTGGAGGCTCTTGTTTTCTTGCAAGACTTGTTTCTTTCTTATACTAACTCATACGATTTCATTAATAGTTGCCCAAACTTTTATAAAACTCTCAAGTTACCCCAATGTTGTACTCTGAAAGCCTAGTTATTTAAAATTTAAAAAATTTATCCTCTAAGAGAAAGTTCATAGGTTCAGGATTCATGAAAAGGATTTGTGTAGCCGACCCGAAATAGTTGGGAGAAGGCTCTGATGATGATGATGTTTTTGTTGTTGTTGAATCATTGATGACGATGATTATCTAAGAGAAAAGTTCCCAAACTTCTGCATTTGAGACATTGGTTATATATTTCCTAGAGCATTTTAATCTGCAAGTTCAGAAATGTTTTAATAAAATACGACTTCATGTTTTTCAAAGAAACCCCAGGTCAATTCAGGGAATTCTTTTGACAAGTTTCACACACTTTAGCTTAACAAACTTGTCCCTAAATTTTTAAGATATCTTTTTGTATTTGTTTTAATAGCACATTATGGCACCTTTTTGTGACCTTGCAAACCCCTCATGCACATCCTTATACATGTCTGTGATAGTTATGGATGCACGTAACTAATTACTTGAGAAGCACATTTCTGTGATAGTTATGGATGCAAGTAACTAATTACTTGAGAAGTAGACATACCCATGAACCCAATGATTCTAATCGCACCCCTACAACTAGCAACTTTCACAAAGCTTTTGTGGGAGTCATCGCTCAGTCCTTAGGTATAGGTGGATCCTAGGTTACTAATCTGTTGAACTTATTTGATCCCTTTGGGAAGTTGTTGTTTATCTTCATTCTTAGGAGGTAGATAGGAGGCTTTGGGATTGGGTCTCTTTTGTTTTCTTTGGTGAGATCCTTGTAAATGTAGAAGCAATTTGAATAAAGAGGAGTACAGTTGACGAAGGTGAGAGCGGGAGCTGGGGTTTGTTGCTTGCTAGAAGTTCTCTAGTTTGGGAGTGCCCAGATATTTTATATATATATGGAAAATGCTGAGATTAGCCCACTAGCTCCTATAAACATATGTGTTCATATGAGCCTAATGGCCCATATTGAATCTGGGCCGATCTCACGGTCACGGCCTCATTTCGTATTTGAATTTTAATGTTTTTCCTACGAATCCAAATAATTTGAAATTTTAGGCATGTGTTCTTAAAAAATAGGAGAATCTAAGAAAAATATCAAAACATAATTTGCAAGAAATAATTTGATCGAAATACCCCTGAAATAATTCGGGGTATTTTGGTCAATTTATTTTTTGCGAATTATTTTTTAAATATTTTATTAGGTGTGCCTTGATGAGAAGAATGGGCTCTTAAAATTTCAAAAAACTTGGATTTGTAGAAAAAATTAAAATTAAAATACGAAATGAGGTCGTGACCATCAGATTGGTTCAGATTCAATCTGGGCCGTTGGGCTCATATGTTCATATGAGTTAGTGGGCTAATCTCAGCATTTTCCTATATATATATATATATATATATATATATATATAGTACGTGT